TTACACAAAAGCTCTTCTACGTAGGGCTGCATGTAATAGCAAGGTATTTTGTCCTTTTTTCTTTAATACGTATCATACATTTTGTTTCCAAACTCATAGATAGCTCATGTAACCCCTTGCTGTATATTGCAGTTAGAAAGGTGGGCAGAAGCTGTCAAAGATTATGAGATCTTGCGGAGAGATCTTCCAGATGACAGTGAAGTAGCTGAAGCTCTGTTTCATGCCGTAGTGGCATTAAAGAAATCTCGTGGAGAGGAAGTGCATGATTTGAAATTTGGTGGTGAGGTGGAAGAAGTATCTGGTCTTGAGCAATTCAGAGCAGCAATAGCATTACCAGGTAACAAAAATGTTTGAAGGCCATCTTCAGTGGTTAGGCTGCTCCTTTTTCCTGTGAATGAGATTGACCCTAGGCTTTATAGGTGTTTCCGTGGTCCATTTTGAAATTGCATCTAACCCACAATGCAAGCAAATCTCACCATTTATGGGTACATTATGTGGCCGGTATCCTTCTATTAACTTCCTTAAGGTACTTCACAGATTAACTTTTATCATCTTGAAACCCAAATATTAAATAAAGATTATAGGTGAGCATCATTGGAGTTTTCTTAATATTGCCTGCAATTTTGTGTTTGATTAAAGGTGGATATTCAAGAATGCCCAACAGTTGCAACGGCTGAGAGCGTTAGAATTGTACCTACATTCAAGATCTACAAGAATGGCTATCGTGTGAAGGAAATTGTGTGTCCTAGTCGTGACATGTTGGAACACTCTGTGAGGCATTATAGCTTTTAGAACTCATGACTTGTACTTCTCTGCTCTATCTTCTGCAATTTCTCTTGCTGTTAAGACCTCTGGTTGAACTGAAACTCTCAAGCTATTCCGTCTCTTGAGTCATTCCAGTTTCTTGATCCCGTTCCCACCACAAAATGATCAGCCGATTCCTGTGACCTAGCTGGAACAGAACCACAGATAATAAATCTCATTAGTAGCCAACGCCAGCGGAACCCAGAGATGGTCTAGTTCCTTTTACAGTTTTTATTTATTCATTCATTCCTCATTGTTTTCTGGTTCGTTCTTTTCCTATCTCCCTTTGTCAGTTTTCTTTCTATCTTCTTTCCAGTTCATCTAGGTCAGCTAGTACTGTGTCCCCATCTTTCACTATGATTGAAAAAAGCCAAAAAAAGGGGGAAGATTTTACATGTCTGTACATTTGATTTAATTGGCAGTTTAATTACCATTAAGTTAAATAGATAGATAGTCAAATATAAAGAGAAAGATGAGGGGGTTCTGTTGGTAGAGGGGGATCTGTACATGTATATATGTAATGATACATACCGACCAAATATTGGAAGCCTTTGAGGAGATTTAATGAGTGATGGGTGGGCACCTCCAGAAATGAGGATGATTATGTTGTTGTTATTATCATTTTTCTATCTTTAGCCACGTAATGAATAAAATTCCCATTTTTTCTTGCTTCGGCATCAGTGATGACTGCCTTGAAGGTTTATCATTATCTTGTTAGACCATGTTAATTGTGTTCTTTACTGTCTCAAAGCCTCTGCAGCGCAGCATTAGGCACAAGGTGTTTGGGTAACCTTAAAAGTGCTTTTTCGTAAATGGAAGCAAACTCCTAGATATATTTACTTTATATACTATGAAAGTACTTTCAAAACTATGATTTTATTTCTATCCTAATACTGAAAAGAGACACCCGGTGGACTCGATTCTGCACAAATCTGAATTCTCTACATTCATTAAAGCAATGAAGTATGGTACAGTAAAGACAGCTGAAAAAGAGAGGCAAGAAAGTGGCCTTCATATTGCAGATGATTCAATTTGATCTCACTTCCCCATATCCCTTTATTACTACAAAGGATGGAACTTGGATTCATTTATCATTTATAAACTGAAGTACTTGGGAAAAGCTGACATGGTGTTTGGGATTGAGTAGGTGGATATGGCATTTAAGATGAACTGTCTTGCTGTTCAGTGTTTGACAGCAAAGGCAAGTTACATGTGTTTTTAAGTGAAGGCTTAGTTATTATTGAGTGGGGAGGATGGATGGATTGGGTGGTTGATATGATAGAAACCATAACTTTGTCATCTTTTAGTACTGTGTCTGTCTGTATCCCTCACACATATATATATATATAGAGAGAGAGAGAGAGAGAGGAGTTGGACCAGTGATCCATATGTTTTATTATTTTATGTGGGCTTGTTTGATAGGTAAGAGTAAGAGAGATGATGTTTGACAAAAAAATACAGGTATTTGTGAGAGAGAAAGGTTGGGGGGGGGGGGTTTGTGATCACATGTGGGCATTTAAGATGTTGCCCGCTCCTTTGAAATGGGGACACGAAGGCTCCTAAAAGTTTTCCTTAGTCGGTGCGCACCGGCCACTCTTTGACTTGCCTTTAATGTTGAGCCATTTGGAACAATTTTTAGGTACATGTGATTCATTGTATACCCACGTAGATTAAATTAGTTGTTATCAGCCTATCAGAAGACGGAGAGAAAAGGGCCAATGAATACAAATTACTTGTTATAATAAAAGTTACTATAGTATATTTTGATCTTTCTAAAACCATGCAACATTAGATGATATATTACTATTTTCGGTTTTTAATATAAGGGGTAGTTTGATTTTTAATTTAGTGTTAAATATGAGATTTAAATTTACTTTGCTTATCATAGTTATCCATTTTTTTTCAAAATAGTCTTTGTAGTAGTTGTATATATTAAAAGTTTAATCAAATGGTAATTTTAGCTAATACATGATTAGTAAAAGTATTTTGGGTAAGACATAGATATTACAAGTAACTCAACAAACTTTCTTAATTTATTTAAATTAGTCAATTAGTTTTTATATTAAGGATTGGAGGTAGTAGTTTAAAAGTTAGGTGAATTATCTAAAAAAATAATAAATATGAAAGATAAAATAAATTGGAGTTTTATATTTGAGGTTAAAATTAATAGTTCAACTAGCTATTATGTTAGAGGTGGAAGGGAATATTTTAGTTGATTAATCTTGTATGCCTATCATGATGAATTCTATGGCTTTTTATGGAGTCCTAGAAATATTAAAATAATGATTCAAATTTCTAATTTAGTCTTAAAAAATAAAGTCATATAATCATGGTGATATAAATATCTTATTTTATAAAAAATAAATAAAATTTGAACTAATTCTATTAAAGATAATAATAAGGAAATGTAATTAAATCCTTAGTTTTTTGCCAACAATTATATTCTAATTAATCTAAAGGATATGTTGCTCAAATAATCCTAATAGAACATTTTTGAATATCTAATTTTGTCTTATCCCGTATTTCACCAGTTTTAGTATTTACTTCGTAGTTTCCGATGGGTGTGGCAAAATTGTTGAAAAATATTACAAGTAATTTCAATGATTAAAATTTACAAAAAATCTAAAAAAATAACTCTTGAATTTCAAAATCAAAAAATTCAGAATTATTATAAAAATATGTCATTAATTGTTTTTTTAAGTATAGTTAGTTACTATTAAAGTATAACAAACAAAACTGATTTAGAATTTTCAGGTTGGAGAGGTATTCTTTTGTTTTTGGAAAAATGTGATTATGAGGGTGGTATTACAGAACACCCGTCAACCCTGGATTTTGTTGTACTTTGTTTTCATTTCATTGGCATGTAACTAAGTTCTGTAATTTGTTTAGATTAAAAGATAAGTAAGTCATCTGGAAGCAATAACCTGTCTATTTATAAATTACAGAATTTTAAACGCAGATAATTATTGCTAATAATTCTTTTGCCAAAAAATCTAATCTAGTTATCTGTAAATGCCACTTTCAATCTAATTATAAAAGCTAGTTGACTAATTTGAGGAGATTAAAGAAATAAGTTAAGTTAGTTATTTGTAATAAATATGTGTTGTCTTTTCTAAAATATCCTTGTTAATCAAGTGTATTGGTTAGAACTACTATTGTTAGAACTTAGAAGGATTATCTTGGAAAAAAATGTTTAAATATGAAAAACAAAATAGATTAGAATCTTATATTTAAGACCAAAATAAAAGTCAAATAAGATTTTATATTAAGGGGCAGAGATAGTATCAATTTTTTTTTTGTTACGTATGAATATCTTCTGATTGAAGATAATCTTCTTTGAAACACTACAAACACGGATGGTTCCAGCATGGGAAAATTTGTTACTTCTGCTAGATCCGCCAATGGGCATGCATCACATGGTTATTTGAGTATATAAATAAATAAAGTATCAGGAAACCAGACAAAGGGTGTGGTCATGTCCAACGACTTTGGTGCTGTAGAGAAGGCCCACAGTGTAAAAAGCAAAATCATGGAAAGACAAAGTGACAGAAAAGGACCGTCCCTCCAAAGAATCTTTCAAGTCTCCTTTTTATTTGGCAAATTGATACGAAAATAAAAATGCCAAAACACACAAACAGGCTACTGTGCCAACTGCCAACAGTACGGTGTACAACAACACCGTCGTAGGCCGTTTTGGTCCTAAACAGGAAATATTGCCCTTCAGATTGAGGATTTCTTTGACTCTTTCTGTTTTCTTGAAAATAAAAAATTAACAACATTGTTTGAATCATTATTTTGCAAGACATACCTAAAATGGTGACATAAAGAGAAGAGGATAAGTTTGCTTCATCAACATAACTATCACTAATGAAAATAAGATATTTTGATTTTGATTTTATTTTGCAAAACAAATTTTAACCATTTTGTTTTTCAACCAGAAACACATTTGCGACATGGAAACTTGTTAAAAAAAATCTAATTTGGGAAACACCCGCCCCCCAAAAAAGGGCAAAAAAAAAAAAAAACAAACAAAAACCTCAGGCAGTGAATCCAGAGAACACAATAACACAAACAGCGACTGATGCACTATCAAGATCTATAACATATTAGCTAGCCAGAATTAGGATCATGGGATAATTGCAACCCAACCATGCACATCACAGAGAGCAAGAATTCATGGCAAAAAGAAGAAACTCTACAGAAACCTTTTTCTTTTTCACTTTCCACAATTTTCACTCTGACTTCCACAATTCAAAATCAGTAATTACTTAACAGTTGAAGATGGTTCATGTGCTGAATGTGACAGATAAATGGCTACCATATATATATTCATACAAGATCCGAGATAACTGCTTCCAGGAGAAGAAAGGAAATAACAGGAAACTGCAATCTGAGGAACAATAACTTCAAATGTTCAGACTCCAATTCCTCCAAATTTCCATTTCAAATTGATAATTAATACTAATAGCATACATTTTGCATCATGGTTATTTTCAGGCCAAAAGTTTCCGTCATCGCATTAGGCACCACTGGCATATAATCGGGTCCACTCTTTTGCTGCAAGTTGCAAAAGCAACATTGTCAATAAGACACATTCAAAATGTTATGACATCATCAACAAGTGATTTCTGAACAATCAAAGACAGTAAATACACCTGTTTCAACAGCCTCGCCCTCATTTGTTTTCCAATGCTTGGCAATGTTCTCAGAAAGCGGATCGTCTGGGTTTGGTGCACTCAAAAGTGCTTGGATGCTAAAAGAATAACAAGAAAGTTCTTAGTATCAGTTCATAATTTTCTTTTTGTTGAAAAGTCAGTTACTGCAATATTTTCTATCAGCTTGCTCATAGCATTTCCTCCCTCTCTTAACCAGCAGAGGGATGCTCTAATGACCAAACTAACATCCAGTAGCACTGAAGTTGAGCCAGAATTTAACATCTCTCCCTGATTCATTCATTCTTTCTATTTTGTGTTTTTCTTTGTTTCACACCCAAAATTTTTTTGGCTAGTACGAGAACTTCTAAATTTATACAAGCAATGAAAAATACGTCCAAATTAGCAGTGTGATCACACAATTTAGCTGAAGAAAACTTAGTCTAGTAGTATATATCAATGTACAAGCATATATATTTTACCATACATACGCCACTTGATATAGGAAAATGACATGTACCTATATGAACATCTACCCCATATTTTTAAGGAAATAAGTAGGTTGAGATGGAAATTCATGATACCTCAAAAGAACAGTACGTATCTGAAGAGCCGGACTCCACTTATCTTTCAGAATATCAAGACATATCCTTCCGAGCTGGCATTAAACTTTAATTTGTAAGAAATGGATCACCACAGAAGAACAATGAGAAAGTAGAGAAAAGAGAGCAAACCTTATCAATATTTGGATGATATATTTTTGTCAGAAACCTAACCTGTGAGAAGCAATGCACACGTTGATCAAGAATCAACGGAATATTATTGGGGCCAATGCCACATGCATACCATGAAAATCCACAAAACATTCAATGTCAAAGGGTCCCTGGAGGAAACTTCAGAATCATTTGATTGTGGCAAAACAAGTGTAATGATTATAACACCCCTTCACAACAAGGGGAGAGAAAAGACCAAAGAGAGCCACAAAGAACATTTCAAATGACAATCGGATGGAAAAATGCTGGAGGTGCACATATGTAAAACCCTCAAATTGGCAATCGCCCTACCATGCTTGTTCAAATAACTGTTCTAAATTCAAAAGAGATCTTCAAACCTTGAGCCATACCAGACCACAGTAAAATTGAACATCACAATACTTCACCTATGAGTAAGTAGCGACATTCAAAGGAAATGCGGAAGACACTGTATTTAAAACAGCCATAAATTCTTACTATCTTAGTTCTAACAATGGGAGGCAAGCAAGACAAAATTAAGTTAATAAAAAAAGATAGGTTTGCTAATATCTATCAAAACAAATATCAAAGAGAACAGAATACAAAATTATTAGATGAAATACCTTAGGGGCAGCCATTGGATATTCCTCCGGCAAAAACAGTTCTAACTTGAAAACACCTCCTAGCAATACGAACCAAAAACACAAAATATTAGTCAAGCAAAAAATATCAAAGTGCGGATTTGGAGAGACAGGTCACTGGATCAACAGAGACAGGGTTGTTAATTTGGTCAGATCAATCAACTACTGATTCACCATGCTAAAAAGGAAAAATACAGACTGCCCATTCTTGCACAAGCACTCAGAATCAACA